GGTGCCTGCAAATTCGACCCAATGAAGAGCATTAGAGGATCGAGAATTGGAACAAATATACTGTGAAGTGTGATTCAATTTATGAAGAAAATTAAACGACCTTAATGTCATTGGCTTAACAGAAGAAAGATGAGAAAAAACTATACATCTATGAGCACAAAAGATTACAAAAAACCCAGCTGTTAATTACAACTAACCATTCATGTCGCCTTGGGTTTTAAGTTCAAAACAGGTTTTTCAAAGAATTTTATACCATTTTGGTCTTTCAGATCGGGTCTTCGAAGAATTGATGTTTATTTAAACGTTTGCGTGCATTTTAGCAATACTAGTGCGCTGTGTTTTCGAACTCGCTTGTGGGATGTTAAATATTGAGGGACTCTCAGGGAATCACAATTATGTTAATTAAAAAAGTTAATCTAAAGGATAATACGGATAATTTATCTTTGTACCACAAAAGAAAAAAAATAAAATTGCTTTTCGATCGTTTTCTTTATTCATTGCAACGTTTCCAAAAGGTTTCGCATCGGTTTCATTTTCAACCATTTTTGAAAAACATGAGAACTGTTTTGTCAAATACCTTTTCACCGACATCAATTTCTTCTTGTTTAATTCGTTGTTTTATCTGTTAAATTAAAACATCGCTGGAAGAAACAGTAATTCTTATTGTATAAAAAAGACTCCGACATAAAATTTTCTGGAAATATTCAAAACAAACGAAGAAATGAATATGAAAGGAACTGACCCCTGTGGAGATTTTGCAAAAGTTTCGTGGGCACGTAAAAAATAATTCCATTCTTCCTGATGTTATTTCAGTCCAAACCTAAAGTAATTCTCTACCTTTCTTGGCTAAATCCACTTAAAGTGACATGGACGAAGGTGAGGTGTGTTTCCAACTTGGATGGAATACAAAGAATCATTGAAAATAGAGATAAATTTTTAAAACGAATTGTATAGATCCTTAAGTTTCGAGCATCAGGGTGTCAGACATATATTTTCGTTCAGTTTAATTAAGGCTATAAAAGTCGCGGCCCCCGGTCGTGTAATTCTGAGGTTATGGCCGCAATTTCTTTGTTAACGACTATATGTAAATATCCGAATCCGTTTCTGTCAGTCGTATAAACTCTACACGCTAAAACAACTTCCTAATCTCATTGATGTCAAATGCATCAAATTTGATCCATTGCATGGTATACGTTAACATAAGTTCTTTGAAAAATAAAGGGAAATCCTTGTTCAGAATGCTGAGAGCAGTGCAAAACAAAACTGAAAAAAAAGTGTACACAAATGAAGTTATAAAAACAAACTGAATGTTAGAAGAAGATGTGTCGCTCTCGAGCGCGAGGTAGTCCCTCTGTAAACATAACATAGTTACCAAGCCTTAGAGTAAATGCATAGATCTAATAAATTGAATTCATTATATGTGGACATACGCACCGAAATAAAATGGAAATCTGCTCCGAGAGGCATTTTTTAATCGCAAAATGCCAAAGGGCGTTAGAATCACTTGTGATTAGCTAAAGAAAAATCTACCAACTCTGCCTTACAGAGAGGGAAAATCGTTTTGCAATTTACCTGGTTAAATTCACATCAACTGCAAACGCATGGTTTCCCAGAAAAAACAGGATTGTGATGGTTAGCGGTAGCATCTTTGCGGCTCGATCTTCTTCAAACAGGGCGTTCTCCTGAATAAAATGAAGTCGCTCAAGGTATTCTATGCATATTTAAGTCTAGGACAGGTGCGCTGCGCTTAAGTTATGAATCAACATTTAAATGGGTGAGCTGATTATAATAAGGTAAGCCAATTCGAAGCAAGTAAAGTGAATGCAATGTGACGAAGTCGAAGACGGGAAAACAAAAGCAACGCTTTGAGCGCTTGAATGCTGCAAACAAAAAAGAAATGCTTTTTAATAAGGCCTTATGGAAGAAGGAATGGAAATGAACTAAAGAAAAATAACAGTTCTTTTAATCGCAAGATATTATCTCCCTGTCTTTCCTTTGATTTCAACGGAGAATCTTTTTAAAATACTTCCTCACGTTTAAAACCAGTATTTGCAATTGCCATTGAACCTTACAGCAGTGATTAACGACAAGAGTATTAGATTTTTCCCAAGTCTCCTGAATCAGATACGTTTCACTTCTAAAAGAAAATTCTTCCCCCCAAAAGAGAAACATCTGTTATTGCTTTATTGAGGAGAACTTTCAGAATGATTGGTAACGATTACAGTCCTAAAAGATCAAGATAATCTTGTCTTTAACCTCGACGCACAGCATAAATTAGAAAATACTGAAACTGTCATATCGATCCTTTGTAGTATTTTTTCTTGGCTTTCAAGACTAAAAACTTATTATTTTTTTTTTTTTTGACCGATCGATTAGCTGATGTGAACAAAATAATACTGGCACCTATTCTACTGTTGTATTTGATCAAAGAAAGCAATCTGTATGGTTACAAAGTTGATGAACTGAAAGAGAAACAAAATGTTTAAAGATAAGCGTGTTTTAGAAACGTACTGTTTCGAGTGTGTTTGATGCGAACTTGATAAAATAAAAATAGATAAATCATTGTAAACAAAACGTCTGTCACGCATTTCATCCGCTGCGAAAGTGAAGATATATCAAGCTTTTTTTTTTTTTTTCGCATGACGCTGGCGCTAGAATGTGTTTCTCTTCAATGGACGCAAATTAGACTACCCATGTGTGATTATAAACGTTCGAGAAGAAAAAAAAAACATGTAAAAATATGCTAGTATGCAGATTCTAATTGAACTTCTTCTTGATAAAAAAAAAGGAAAACAGGCCCGATGGGATACGAGACACTGTTGGTGGTTAAGCCAAACAAAGCCACGGANTATGCAGATTCTAATTGAACTTCTTCTTGATAAAAAAAAAGGAAAACAGGCCCGATGGGATACGAGACACTGTTGGTGGTTAAGCCAAACAAAGCCACGGAAAGCTAGACAGCAAGTCATGTAAAACTGAAACCGTGAACACCTTGCGTTGGACGTGTTTACGTTGCCAATGAAAGCCAACACAGGTTTTCCCGCTGGGAATGTTTTTGTCTTTTCAGGGCTCCAGGGCGAGAGGGGACGCTATGCCTTTGGGGTGATACGAGTTTGAGACTTTCAAATGTGACCTTTAGCTGCCGCAACTAATTAAAATCCGAAAAATAACCGAATATTTTTCAGTATTACAACTGAAACCAACTAAACGTCCAAAGGAAGTTTACGCTAAGTTGAGAAAACTGTTTTGACCTCGATCGAATCATTAATCAGGAAAACTGCTTCTTGAAAGATAATTTTTTTGAAAATAGGTTAGTTCAGGTCAGCTTGTTTAGCTTGGGCAAAGGGAAGCTATAAATAATAAATAAGAACTGAAATTGGCTGTGGACGGACGTCAAATATCTAGAGTTAGATATGTGTTGATCTTTACTGTCGATACAATGTAAATCAGAGCTTGTGTTGATTTAAACGCACAGATATACTTTGATTATCGTATTTTCTGACACAAACAGCTTCTCCCATCGTTACCTATACTGAAACAGATTCATTTATCAAGGATTTGTGAAAGTCCATAAAAACCATTATCTTCACAGTCAAAATGGTCAACAGTTCTGAATAAATTAAATGCTGGGTGTGTGAACGACTCACAACAAACTCTCCGGCGTTTATAGAAGCGTGTAAAATAGAAATACTGTAATTACTTCGTTCTAACTCGGCTCTTCGAAGTGACCGTGTTGAAGTTAAAGGGCGCAACGCGAAAAATATAATATGATACGACACAATTTATTATTATTTTCAAGAAATTATCCCCTAAATAAATCTTTGCACTTCCTCGCGCTGAACAAATCATGGGATATTGAGAAAAACGTGAGCCAATCGGCTATCAGGCTTTTCATTTTCCTTCAAGGAGACTTAATTTTATGATTACTGGCAGGGTTAGCTTATTTGTACTTGTCCATAAACATTTCATCTAGTGAGGATGGTGAGGTTTTAAACATGCTGCGCCGCCACAAGACAACCACAGCACGGACGAAATAAGTTCCATCCATGTGAAAAGGTG